CCAGAGCAGAGTTTGCAGACACAAATAAAAGTCAGGCTGGGGAAAATGAAGGAAATCCAATGCAATATATTTGTATTCTGTCACTGAGGCACTGTCTAATGTTGCTGTAACTATGATGTATAGGTCTATCAAAGCATGTGTTACTATGGTCTGAATTTCCCAACTGGAGAAAAATGATTAATGTAGAGATTTGCATTAGATGTGGTCTTGGACATCAATATTTCAGCTTAGGTAAACAGGAGCTTTACCTAATTTATTGGCTCTCATTATGGATGGCTTGTAGAAGCCAAATTCCCCCTCTGCCTCCAAAATGACCTTTCATGCTCTACAAATCAATCTAGAAGAAGTGAAGCAAGTTGGTTAATATTTTAGAAAGAAAAAAATGGCTTTACATGTCAGGGGCTTAATTGTTGTGATTTTGACCCATTTAGAAATTAGTTAACATTTGCTTCAGGCCTCTGACTTCATGTATTATTTATTTTCATCTTGGCATTGCTTAAGCCTCTTCATGTGCAAAATGCTTATAACATGAGAATCTTTTTCTAAATATTGCACTTAAATAATAGCATTAAGAATCTGAAAATTTAATGCCCAAAGTGTATTCTCCACACACATACACACACATGGATATTATTTCAGGCCACACTGCTTTGGGGTACATTTTAGCTCTCGTTGGCAAAGTTTCTAGATGTTACAGTCAGCATGACAGAGCAATTTCTTTGTAAGAGTTTTATGTTGCAAAGTGTGTCAGAAGTTAATCAAAGGGTAACAATGCAAAAGTCTGTGCATATGGCTTCCTGGAGACTGGGGCCAGCCCATGCTGTCAGTCACTGTCAAAACTGTATCACACAGGAGCGTACAGTACCTTTTTTACTCTCCTGTGAGAAAATGTTTCCAACCACAAAGGTCACTGCCTTTATGGAATAAATCTATTAGCCTATTGTTGTGGTATGAATCCCAAGGAGAAGACATCTCATCAACTGCCTGGCTCAGATGCATGGTCTCTGCAGCTTCTTACAGTACAGGGTCAAGCCCTGCAGCTTGCCTCTGACTGTCAGCATCAGCGTAGGCCCTTCATATCATAATCTCTGCATCCTGGTGAATAATCACTTATGCTTGGCCTTGAAAATGACTATCCCATTACTTGTTCCGTGTAATCATGGGAGAGGAGTGCTTTTGGAATCATTACACGAGCTACACCTTCCAACCAGCCTGGGCGTCCTCCGAGCTTAGATAGGGAAAGGTAATCTGTGAGAATGTTCCATCATGCCAGTGCTATTAGAAGAGGGTGATTTCGAAGCTGCTTACAGAAGAAAGGCTTAGAGACTCTTATGTATTTCTGAAATGGATACCACCTTCTAATCACCTATTTTTTGTTGTTGTTCTTGACACCCATTTGAAGTTGAACAAAAACCAGTGTATAAATGAGGCCTGACAGCTGTTTCCCAGATGCACAGAAATAACCATTGCAGCTGTCTAAAACTAGGCCATTTGCATTTGCATCAGTTTGGATTAAATCTTTCATTAATTTGGGTCATCATTTATGTACAAAGCTCATAGAACAAAGAATATGCATGTCCAATGTAGCCTTTTTAAAAAACCTTCAAGCACAAGCATAGAAATTCCAGGGATTCTATTCACCAGGTAAAATGCAGACTTGTTGAAGGTGATTTTTATTACACAGACATTAACTAAAAATCTGCTACATTCACAGCACAGTTTTTCTGTATGCTAAAAATCTACTCATCTTTCCAACTTTATTGTAACCTTCTCCATGAATCTGTCTTCAGTTCCTGAAGTTAAAATTAATTGATATCGTCCCTCAGGAATTTGTAACGAAACTCATAGATACTGGGATTTGATGTTCTGTTTTCCTAGCAATGCTCACTGAAGTAAATGCTGAACAAATGCTAATAGTATCTGAATGCCAATAAGAAGCAAGGAAGGGAGAAAGCCATGCAGGCAGGCACATTTGTATTAACTCAAAACAGATAGTTTTGATACAAATATTTATATAATATTGTATAATTCAGAAGCACTTTCACTTTTTTTTTTTTTTGCGAGGGGGATGGAGTCTTGCTTAGTCCCCCAGGCTGGAGTGCGGTGGCATGATCTCGGCTCACTGCAACCACCATCTCCCAGGTTCAAGCAATTCTCCCATCTCAGCCTCCTGAGTAGCTGAGATTACAGACATCCATCATCATGCCTAGCTAATTTTTGTATTTTGTTAGAGGTGAAGTTTCCCCATGTTGGCCAGGCTGGTCTTGAACTCCTGACCTTAGGTGATCCTCCTGCTTTGGCCTCCCAAAGTGCTAAGATTACAGGCGTGAGCTACTGCTCCCAGCCTCCTCTTAAATGTAAGTTCCAGTTTTACATCATTTCTTTGCTCATGCATATGAAATAGGTGATTAGAAGCAGCCAGGTCAAAAATGGAATGCTTTGCTGCTTGGGCATTTTTTCCACCAGATACCCCAAATCAGCAGTCGGCTTTTGGCATCAGGGACTGGTTTTGTGGATGACAATTTTTCCATGTACTGGGGGTGGGTGATTCAAGCACATTATGTTTATTGTGCACTTTATTTCCATTATTATAACATTATAAGAGACAATGAAATAATTATACAACTTACCATAATGTAGAATCAGTGTGATCCCTGAATTAGTTTTCTTGCAGTTAGATAGTCCCATCCATGGGCAATGGGAGACAGTGACAGATCATCAGGCATTAGATTCTCATAAGTAGCATACAACCTAGATCCCTCATAGGCATAGTTCACATTAGGGTTCATGCTCCTATCAGAATTGAATGCCACTGCTGATCTGACAGGAGGCCCAGCTCAGGCAGTAATGTGAGCCATGGGAAGTGGCTGTAAATACAGGTAAAGCTTCACTTGCTTGCCTGCTGCCTACCTCCTACTGTATAGCCTGTTTCTTAACAGGCCACAGACTGATGCTTGTCTGTGGCTCACTGGTCGTGGACTCCTGCTCTACATTATTACTCTCAGGTTCCAAGTTTTACAGATCCGTAGAGCCGGAGCATAATCCAATGAAGCTCTTTTTCAAATGTGACCTTTGCTCCAGTTCCCAATAAGTTTCTCATCTCCATCTGAGACCTCCTCAGCCTGGCCTTCACTGACTATTAACATTCTGATTACAACCATTCAACAAATCTCTAGAAGTTCCAAAATTTCCCTCATCTTCCTGTCACCTTCTGAGTTCTCCACACTCTTCCAGCCTCTGCCCATTACCCAATTCCAAAGCTGCTTCTACATTTGTAGGTGTCTTTACAGCAATACCCAACTCCTGGTACCAATTTTCTGTATTAGTTTATTCTCACACTGCTATAAAGTAACATGGGAGATGGGATAATTTATAAAGAAAGGAGATTTAGTTGGCTCACAGTTCTGCAGGCTGTTTAGGAATCATGGCAGCATCAGCTTCAAGGAGGCCTCAGGGAACTTATAATAGCGACAGAGGCAAAGGAGGAGCCATCACTTCACATTGTCAGAGTGGGAGGAAGAGGGAGAGTGGGAAGGTGCCACACACTTTAAAACCACCAGATTTCCTGAGCACTTACTATCACAACAAAGGGATGGATAGTGTTAAACCATGAGAAACCAGCCACACGATCTAAATGCCTCCTGCCAAGCCCCACCTCCAGCACTGGGGATTATATTTCAGCATGAGATTTAGGTGGAAACAGATCAAAACCATGTCAGATGAATAATTAAAATAATATATTTAAGTCTGCTTTTTGATTACATGTATATATGAATTGGGACCTGGAAAAGAAATTAGATGATTAATTTAATAAATTCAGGACTCACCATCAAACCTACCAATTAGTGATCAACATTTTTCGTTAGGATTATTACATTAGGGTATTGAGAAAAAGCCAACCTAGATGGATCATAACTAAAATAATGTCCTTTGCAAATCCAAGAATCCCCTTTCTCTTTCTAGTGGAAGTTTCTTTGCCAATTTTTCTTTTCATGTGATCCTAATGAAGATTGATTCCTAATAGTACTGTCTCATATGTCTTAGAGCTAGCAAAGCATAAAATGTCTTCTTTGAACTGTTAAATAAAACATGGAAAAGCATTGATACTGAAGACAGAAATGTAATGTTAGGGGTGTATGTATTTGAATAAAAATGTTTGCCCTGACAACTAAAACACATATAAAAGAAATTTTTTTAGTTTGACCTTTATGAATGTGAATTTGTACCTTAATGTCTGACATTCTTGGGATATTAAAATGAAACAGTCATATTAAAGCATAGTAGTTAACATAATTTGAAGGTATAGAGTTCTAGCATCTTAGAGGAATCACAGGGTTTTGGTGGAAAGTAGTTATACTCTTAATTATTTTATAAATAATAAAAATCACTTAAATCATAGTTAATTTTGCATAAAGGAAAACCTTCTCTATATAATTTTTGAAATATGTTAGTTTTAAATCATCAGAATATTTTCAGTATTCCTTCATGCTAAGGAACTTGCTTATGCCCAAGTTTATGATTACAGATTTAGGATTAGACTCATTGCTTCCATGCCAGCATGAATTTCAGTTGCTTATTAACATGTGGGTTACAACTTTGAAGAAATCAGATCACAGAAGATCTCACACATGTTGCACTTGCTATCTCACAGGCATTCTGTAATTAGACTGGATTCATTTGCCAGACCCCTCCCTGAGCTAAAGAGCTAAGGTACTGCTGTGGCTCTTTTATTAAGAAAATTGAAGTTAGAGATTAAATGACTCTTGCTTCATTTTGCCAGGTAATTTCTGAAGGCTAGACTGAACGTGGGTCTGAATTCCGTAGGGGGCGTTTGAGTCACTCCAGAACATGATTTTTTCTTACTGCCTTTTTGTTATTTTCCTGAAATAAGAAGTGGAATTCTATTATTTGAATGGAAAAAAACATACCGCATGCTTTATATTACACATCTTGCAATGTTATGTCCTATTTATTATGCTCCTATATTTCCCTTTTCCTAGATAAGTCAACATTTTCACTGGACCTATTGGACTGAAATGGCAAGACTGAATGAGGTAAGTCATTTGGGAGGCTGCTGTGAGCACACACTTATTCAGCGATCCTGTGGTGAACATACATTTAACCAACCTGGCTTCCTCGTATGGTCAGGTTGCACCTTGTTTGGTCAGATTCTTGCAAAGATCTGAGTTTAATACGGCAAACATGCAGGTAAGTAAAGCAGTTCTTATTTTGATCCTTTGGCCTCAAATTAGTGAAGTGTGGCTTGCCTATGTGTACAGAAAGTATATGGACAATTCTTTTGCATTGGTTGGGATGCTGTTGAGTAAAGGTGAGATTGTGAGAAAAGATGACTAGACTGGAATTACCACTCAAGAATTTGTCTGCTTGCTTGAGAGAAAACTTAAGGGGCTGTGATATAGTAAGACTCTACTCATTTTGGGGGACAGGTGTCACGTAATTCTTTTTAGCAAGCTGAATAGAAACAGTCTAGATACAACACATGCTTTGAAACTGATTCGGCATTAGGGCAAGTGAGAATGGATTGGTCAGGGCCAGAATAAGGTGTGGCTCTCTAGTGAGTGTTGACTTCTCTGGTGCAATATGAATTCTCAGAAGACCTTTTAGGTCGTGGCTTCTCAGTCTTATTGTTTCTGGTTTTTAAATTGCTTTCCTAGAATAAACTAAATGACTTTTCTTTGAAGCAAGAAAATGTGTAAGTAAAATCTTAAAATTATGTATGCCTGTTAATCTACTTATTCAATGTAGAGATACTTATTTGAGGAAATAATTAAAAACATTCTAAAATTTAAATGCATTATTTTTCCTGTGGAATTATTTAAAATAGTAAAACCTTGGGAAGAAAGCCCACTACCTAATAATTTGGAGTTTGTTAAATAAATAATGACATAGCCACATGGTGGAATATTGTACGTCTGTTAAAAGTTAGAGTTGTGAAAAAATGTTTAATGGCAATAGAAAATATAGAGGCAAAATAATCAAGTAAGAATGTAGCATTCCGAATTATCTATATTGGGGCATGGTTTCAATTTATACCCAGACATTAGATGGGGAGAAAATACAATTTGTTCTCAGAGTTCTATTCTGTGAGATACTTTTTCTCAGACAATAATGCCAATCCCATAGGAATATTGTTTACATTTTATAAGTTGTGTGCAAATTAATAAACACCTGTTATGCCCAATAAACATTCATTCTGTTCATTTCTTCTCCTTCTGTCTTCACTGAACATGATTTTCTCAAGAAAACATTGCTTCCCATCCAGTCCTCCAAAGGCAAGCCCATCTCATACTGGATTCACATCCACTTGCCCATGCTTTGTGCTACCTGGGAAACCTTTTCAATATTCTTCTTCAACTTTCATGCTGACACTTCTTCTTTAGGGGTCTATCATTTCCAGTTTATGCCTTGCATTTCTTTCCTTAATTCTGTTATTCTTCCGTGACCAGACGAACTCCCCTGCATTCATAGCTGACTTTGGCTTTGGTGAATTGTTATGTTCTCTGTACCAACTCTTACAGGTTTGAGGTGAGTGCAAAGAGTGAAGAGTAAGACACAGAAATGCCCAAACTTAGGAGTAAGGTCCTCTATTAAGCAGAAAACCTCCTGCGGTAGACAAGGGGAGCCAAAGAAAGGTGGATTTTTTTTTTCTCAGTGGCTCCAATACAGCCTCTGGGCCTTGGAGGTCTGAGAATTCCTCGTGATGCCCACTCCCACCTCTTCTCTACTGCGTAACCTTTCACATCTCCAATTATTTCGAACTTCAGCGACAAAACTAACTGTCGTATCTGCCAGCCTCTACTCTGCTTCATGTGCTTTCTTATTCATGCTGGCTTTAATGGCTTATATACAACTTCCATCTGACTTAACCCTTTGTTTCCTTATAATTTACTCAAATGCTATTCCTTAGATTCAAGCTCTACAATTTTTTAGTTGCATTTTCAGATTCCCTTACTATAATGTTAGGCCTGACTGTAACCCTTCTTCCTCTGAAATTTGTCCTCCGTCTGTTTGTACTAGAAACCTTGGAAGACAAAGATGAAAACTTACTAGCTTGAAAATCAAGATATCACAGCTCTACCTCGCTCCAGAAGTAGCTGAATAACTTAAACAATGTTGAACATAAAATAATAATAATAATAATGTTCCAAGGTCCATTTGTCTGTGGAGGCTAAATGGTTTTGTATAGAGAGTATCATGTTGCTGTTCAGTGGAATTTCATCATCAAACCAAGCTCTTTCCTGCCAAATGGATTTTTATAACCCTTCCCATTACTGAAAAATGTCGACTCCATAGAGTGAACCATACAACCTGGTAGCCGGTGCCTGTAATCTTAGCTACTCAGGAGGCTGAAGCAGGAGAATTGCTTGAACCTGGGAGGCAGAGGTTGCAGTGAGCCAAGATTGTGCCACTGCTCTCCAGCCTGGGAAACACAGACTCCATCTTAAAAAAAAATCTATCGCAATGACTTCATAATAGCTAAGGATTAACAGTCTACAAATATAGAGAGATGTGAGTTTAGGAATAAGATCTTTCAGTATGGAGCATACATCCTGGGGTAGACAAGATGGGTATGGGAGAAAAAAGATTTATTTCCTCACCATATAACAAAAGACAGAGCAGCAAAAGAAAAGTATAACAAATTTATTTAATATAAATTTCATATGACATGGGGGTCTTCAGAAATTAAGACAAAATTCCCAGGGAAAACGGCAAATTTTTATAGGCAGTCATGCAGAAGTATGATTAGAGGACAAAAACTTATGGTCTAATGGTAGTAACCTGGGAAGGGGGAACTTAGCAAGGCCCATTTGTTCAGTTTCTTCTTGGCATCACTGCATGGCATTACTTCCCTCTGGATATAGGGTAGGACACCTATCATATGTCGATCTTCAGGGGAAGAAACCAGGAGAAGTCAGAGAGACCTTGATGCTTCTGCTATTTTCTTAATTTTGGAGTATCTCATCCTGAGCCCAACATGGGCAAAAGAAAAGAGAATTGCAAAGGAATGGAATGTCACTTCTGGACAGAACAGATTTACTCTCACAGCCACAGATGGCTCAGGATTATGGCTAAGTTCTTTAATGAGAAGAAGCTCTAATTCAACATCAAAGTCTACTGGATAGGCTTCAAAGTAACCTCATGTTTTACTTACAGGCTGTTTGAGAGAGCCAACGTTCTTCATGTGAAGACAAGCAAATGAAAACGATATATACAAAATATGCCATGAAAGCAATAACACTTTCTGCCATTTATTCATCATTGTGAGGCAGTGCATTGAGCACGTGGATTCTCCCATTTAATTCTACGAGAACCTCTGCAGCAGGCACCGTTAGTCCCATTTTTATATATATATGGGAAAGCCTGAGGCTTAGAGGGCTGCATTAGCCTGCCAAAAGCCCCTAAACTGGTAGCAAATTGCTTCTAGATTTGAATGCAGTGCCATTTAACTCTATATATGAGCTTTTAACCAGAAGTTTCTATTGTCTTACACATAGACTGAATATGAACCATGGAGATAGCATTTACTTGGGAGAGTTAGGGAGGGTGAGGAAGCATTAGAAGGCCTCACAGAGGTTGAAAGTCTAAAGGCTCTTAAGAAGTTGCAGGGAGCAGTAACATGAACTGTCCCCCCAATTCCTGCTCCCTCATAATCTCTATCTGTACCCCCACCCGGTCTCTTCCTATCCCCATTATTTGTTCCAAGGAGCCCATACAAATCTCTACCACTCTCTCATTGAGTAGCATGTTTATATATTGTGTTATATAGTAAATATTTCTCCCGTGAAGCCTCACAGCAACTCCTCCCTGTAAGAAAAACAGCTATGCCTTGTTTGCTGCTTGAAATGTGATTGTGTTTATTTGTTGGGATTGAAGCCAATCACATAGAAAAATACCTTTTTAGGGGAGAAAGATGTCGGCTCTGCCTCGCATTCAAATACCCAGTCTTCTCTGACTCACATTGAACAACCTTGAACAAATCGCTTTCTCTCTAGTTTCTTTTTTTCTGCTTGTGCTATACAGTAGCAGGGAGAGAGGCTAGCCACACCAAGTATGGTGTGATCACTCAAATATTAAAGCGTTTTATGCTCTTTGCTTCTGTTCATTCTTTCTCTCCTTTTGATCTAACAAAACTTCTTAAATTATAAATTAGGCAGTTGGAAGGGTTTTTTTTTTTTTTCTCTCTAAGATAAGGGGAAAATGTATGACTTCAAAATAAATGTTAGCGGAATAGTGCAGCAGACCACGTCAATATATTTATTTGGCATATGGCACAGGATACCTTGAGGAAGATGCCACACTTTAGGTGAATTTCAAAAGAGATTTTTTTTTAAATATAGTGAAACAAAACGACATCTCCAAACTGCTTTCAACAGCCTTAAGAATTAATAATCAGTTCCTTTAAGAAATCCAACTCTCAGTTTTGTCTCTTGAGGTTTTCCAGTATATCAACAGGTAAATAATTACTTTTAGATTTTAGAACTAATGAAAAGAAAATGAGTGTCAAATCAATCAGGGTGTAGTACAAGGGGGAAGGTAAAGATGAAATTCTTTTCTAGGGCAGCATTTTCTGAAATACACCTGGCTAGTGATTTTGAAAAAATTTCCATATTTTTAAATTTAGTGACACGTAAGTATACAACTTCCTTCAGGAAGTCTTCCCTAGCTGTCTTGCCTCCTCAGCCTGAGTGGTCATCTTCTGTTCTCTCCTACCATGCTATGCACAGCTATATCACAGGCCCGTCACACTGAACTGTAGTCAAGCATTTGTCTCCCCAGCTAGATACTGAAGTCCTTGAGAGTAGGGAGCCATGCCATTTCCTCTCATTATCTGCTAGTAGAGTGTGAGGCAGAGCATAAACTCAGAACCCAGTGTTGGAAATGAACTGAATTTGGCTATGCCTCAGTGGAAATATGATTAATGATGGGGACTCTTGTCCAGGATGTTTTCCTTCAGTTTAGTAATATAAAAAGTTTAGAGGCAAATTCCAACCTATAAATAAAATGACAAATATGCAAAGAAGACCCCCCCAGTA